ATGTGGTCCGACACATCCTTTAGGTAAGTGCAGGTATCCTGGCTGCCGCGTCGCATTGTCGTGGTTGTTTCCTCCAAGCCGCGATCCAGCAATCGATTGGTCGCAAATGCAATTATGACACCAAAACTAAGAATATATGAAGATCAATTAATTGCTTATTGCGTATAAACTAAGATTAGAACCTACAGAATTCCAATGATGAGCAACAAGAGCAATAAACCGCAGCAGCAGCGCCTGCGAGCGTCTTTCTGACTGTCGCAGGGCGGGCATCCTTCTTTGCAGCGTCGACAGCAGCAGAAGCAGCAATAGCAGACGCTGTGAAATAAGAAAAAAATTGTCTTGAATGAAGAACTCTTGTTGTGAGTGACTCAGCCCCAAGGCACAAATAACTTGGGCTGCAAAAATTGGATTTCTGTAACCATATTTGGTAGATGTCCATTTTGGGCAGCGATAAAGTTAGCGAGCATCTTTAATACTGCAATTCCCATGACTTGCCATATTTGGGCAGTTATAAATTAAAGATTTAAGTGTAAACTGGAGCCCCCGACTTAATTAAGGCTCTACTTACGCTATGATGGGCATGATGACTGCCAGGATAGCCAGGATAACAACCGCGATGAGCACCATCCAGTACTGCGTCAGCAGATCGCGCCAGTCATTGTTCTCCACCTTCGGGCCCAAGGCCAAATAGTTGCCGTCCTTGACGACCACGTAGCCTGCCAGGAATAGAGATTTGAATATAAGATATAATTTATAGGGTTTTCACACAGTAGCCCACCTGGCGGAATAGCGGCCTCATCCGGCAGGATAAAACCAAAGAAGTAGCGCGTAAAATTGTACACGGGATCCATGGCTTTAGTGGAGTATTTCGGCTCTTTGGTATAGTTGGCCTTTGATTTGTATTCGGTGAATTCAGCCGTGGAGAAGTGTAGCTGCCCGAGCTTCTCGTGGGCGGTGGCCACGCGCCACACCTCGGCGTTTCCCTCGTCTGCGTGAGTTGGGCTTATTAACGTGGCCAGGGCAAAGCCGGACATAATCACGCTGAGACTGCATATTGCCAAGACAAGCCCGCTTTTGTGGTGTGTCGTCTTGGACTTGAGATGTTCACCCGGAGCTGGTGTCATTCTGTGGCCGTATATCCTGTGTCTACGCTAAATGTGGCCGTCGGTCTACGCTCTTGAAATGCTTCTAACACGCTTGGCTCCAGCTTTGGTTCCTCTGGCCGCCGGCGAGCACATCCATTTCATGCGTCAGCGAACTGCAGAATAGAAACGATTAAAATAAACGTGTCTCTGAATGGGACTACACTCCCTGCTAATACGATTTTAGCATGTCCCGACCTTATTTATATGTATATTAATGCCTGCCAGGCCAGTAAAATACAAATGCATATCAATATATCATTCGCCTTGTGGGTGTGCCGCAAATGTGGCAAACGGCTTAGTCGCATTCTTATCGCTTAACGCAACGAAGAAGCACAAATGCTCAACTGCCTCCCTCGCACAAACACTCCACTTGACATCAATTAAAGTCAATAAAAAAAAATGAAGCGAACAACAATCAACGAAGGGGGCAAAGCCTCCATTTTCACTTACAACTTTGTCGATGCCACAAGAGCTTGCAAAAAGTTGCACAGAATATTTTATAAATATTTCACAAATTATCCTTAACACTCGAATAAAAATATAAAATAAATAAAAGACGCCCAAGGCTCGAACTCACGTTCTTAAGAATACGAATTGGCAGCACAAGCATTACAAAAAAAGTGCATGTCCCGAATGAGGTTCGAACTCGCGCCATTAAGATTAAAAGGAAAATATTTAAATATTAAGACAAATATGCTTCAAACGAGGCTTGAACTCAGGTAATTAATTTTTTGAGCTAGCAGCATAATGGAAAGCATTAAAAAATCAAAAAAAATTACATGCCCCGGGTGAGGCTCGAACTCACGACCTTAAGATTATGAGACTTACGCGCTGCCTACTGCGCCACCGAGGCTATATCTGCCCAAGCGGCAAACACATAATTGTACTGTGGCTTTGCTGATACGAACTGGCAGAATGTTCTCAAACAGGTTTTAGTAGGAAATATTGCAAACAAATAAATTTAGAACACGATGTAGAAATAAAAATAAAAAAAAATTTGATAATAATGATAAAAATAACAACATTGAGCAGAGTCTAAAATACTTTTAGGCCAAATACACACACACACACATGTAAGGCAGCATTATCAATGACTATAAAAGAACCACAAATGCAGACTATAAAAAACAACTGATACCGAGACTGTCTCTTGATATGCGTGCATAGAAAAAGAGAAGCACAAAGTTGAATGAACCCCATGAACTGCCCCGGGCGCAGCTGAAGGGAGCTGAACTCAAATGGACAGTGGGCAAAGGGAGCTAGTGGCACAGAAGGGTCTGCCAAGTGCTGATGATGATGATGATGAAGGTTCTGGGTGCTGGGCGATGTTTGTGGTTCCCCATTTACGCTTGCCTTGGCCTGTCGCCCCCCCTCCAACACAGAAGGTGTCGCAGCAAACACACACGCACACACATTTTAGAGCCCTGCATTCGACGCCTGCTTATCTTGAGTTTGTTTTTTATGCGCACTTTTTACTGCTGTTTGCTTTTTGCAATCGCAGCTCCAATTGACAGCTTTTCTTATGGTTTCAAGTGTCACATTAGTTAACAGCTGGTTAATTGTCTTGTCAAGCATCAGGCAAATGGCTTGTAAATGTTAAAGTATATACATACACAAATATAGCTTAGTTGATTGCGTAGACAACTTGTAAATTTAACACGCATAAGGCTTACTTGAATTCATGAGAATCGCATAGTAGGGCGATATTAAAAGCGCATTTATCATGTCAATTGCGTATATTTCGTTTTTATGTATGATTTGCAGCTCAAGCATTGGCAGACTCGTGCTCCAAATGCTCTGCACAGCAAAAATATGTATACCCACGCCTCCCGAGCTGACGAGCTGACGAGAGGAGCCGAGCATTCGAACGGCCTTGACATGAGCAGAAAACAAAGCTGGAAGCCATCGCATGGCAACTGCTGCATGGCCGGGGCAAATAGGGGCCTGAGAGGTCAACGCTATTATAAAAGCACACCACATAAGCGATTTGTTCTTGAATGCTGTGCTTCGGCCAGCAACAACAAGGAAAGCAACTAAACAAAAACAAAACAAACTCATTTGCAGACGTGATAATAATAAGCACATGCGCAGTTTGTAGCAGGTGTCGGCCAACGATTTAAGGGCGGCTGCTGTTTCCATAAAAAACTCCAAATTTCCTATATATATATATACTTTAACTCGAGCCTAACTCTTCCCTACTTTGGCCGAATAATTATTTATTTTTAAATTGTCAAGCTGGAATTTGCGAATCGATTTTTTCATATCCATAACTGTTGAAACATAGAATACTTTAAAATAGAAATGAATATGTATTAGAGAAAAAAAAAACATACATTCCCACCTTCATATGCAAATATAATACATACACACATATATATATATATATATATATATATATATATATATGTATAATCACACACAAGCATACCATGTAGAACCTAAGCTTAGTAGATTGTCCACACACTGTTTAATGCAACACTTCACTAACTAGCAAAGCATGAAAACCTGTGAGGCTCCCTTGAATTCATGAGAATCGCATAGTAGGGCTACATTTATTAAGACATTTGCTGTTGAATTTGTAGTGCAGTGAGAAGTATATTTGTTTTGCAATTCGTAACGTGCAAAACGGGTCTGTTGGGCAACAGAAAATGTTAGCTGGGCTTTAGAAACTGGCCCGATTTGATTGGGTTGCGTTGAACGAGGGCGTACTGTAGACACACACACACACATATATACAAATATGTATGTAGACATACATACATACATACAAAAAGAAAGCCAATTGGCTTGCAACTACAACGTGTTATATTAACTTATAAACAAAGTACGAAACCCTATAGGGTCTACTGGAATTCATGAGAATCGCATAGTAAGGCGATATTTAAAAATGCATTAATCAACACAGGTGAAGTCCATATATGTTGTTTTACGAAATAGACGACTCATCGAACACGCAGTAAACCAAACGAATAGCCAAACAGACGACCTACTTCTTGGAATTGAATCAGTTTATCTGTCTGATGCTGTTCGCCAAGCTTAACTGGTTTTTTACCGCAACCAGATACCTTTCGCTTAAGCAACACTCCCATATGTACTTATAAGTAGATACGACTTATTTTATAGGAAAGTGTTTGCATACATCAATATCGGATGGTGTGGCGCAGTCAGGACTAGTCATAGAATTACGACAGATATAAACAAATAATTGGAGATGAAATAAACCTGAAAAATTATATGACTTGGGTCTGACGAGTGTTTAAGAATTATTTACACATTCATATAAACACATTTACCAACTGAAATTTAGGAATTGTTTATCAGCACAAATTGCTGAGTTCCCGAGAACCGACTTAAAAAGCACACATTTAATTGAATAACTGTCGGGTTTGTTTACCAAAAAAGAAATAAAATGAAAGAAAAAAAAACACTCATATCAGCGGTTTGGCCTTGAGCTATAATGTAAATTTAAAAGAAAAACCGTGTATATACATATAATGGAATTTTTAGTAAACAGAAAAAAGTTATAAAAGCTGGCCAAAAAAAAAAAGGAGAAGCCAGGTTGATGTCAAATATTTGCAAGCCAAACACGCGCACTCGCACACGGATAGTCTTTATTTTAAGTGAAAGCGACTTGAAGCCAAGAAGTATGAATCGAACTTATTGAGGTCAAAATAAGCTGGCTTACTCTGCTCAATCTAACATTTGATTACTGCAAGCAGAGATTTGCAAGCAGGTTGCCAGTAGGTTGCAAGCAGGTTGTAAGTTGCCATGCGTGTTCAGGCTATTTGTCGCTTGTAATTCACAGGCAAAAATATAATATAAACAGGCCATGAAATATATATTTTCTTGTTTGTTAAATTAGGAGAAAAATTGTGAGCCCAAAATTAGCTATTCGTAAGATAATTCGTAGATAAGTAATTTGCGCATACCTTGCCTCTTTCAGATAAAGAAACAGCTAAGTAAAGCATTTGGAATATTTAATGTGTTAAGCATGTTTTTGTTTTTTTATATAAGCAAGTAGTCGGGAGTGACCGACTAGAAGATAACCTGGACACAATGCTGAGCTGACAATACAAACATTCGCGCTAAGGCTAGCTGTGCCTCCCTATGTATGGGAAATGCATTCTTCACCAACTTCGGAGCTTATAGTCCGATTTTTATGAAAAATCTAATGAAGCTTCAGCATGGCATACAGAACTGTGTATATACCAATCCACAAGTCTATTATACCTGCCAAAATGTGTAGTTTTTGTTACCAATATCAGATCTGTGATCCTAGAGTATAGGAGCCACTAGCTATTATAAGCACAGACTTAATCTGAAAAGAAATTTCGTGATAACGCGGTGAGCTATTGATATTTGAAGTCTCGAGCTGTGTATATCTCTAAGATGTAGCCAGATTCCAAGTTCTTGAAGCATATATACAAAATATACATATATAAGAATTAGGAAATCCCAGATTGTCTTCTGCCTGTTGCATATGCATGTCTACACATGAGCATTATGCTCTTTTCTACTCATTTCCAAAGGCTGCTTAAAACAATGTTTAAATGGAAAACTGATCTTTTGGGCGGAAGCTTAGCGCTGTTAGCTGGACGAAATCTGGTTCGCTGTCATTTGATGAACAGATATACATATATATATATTTTCATTTATTCATTTATTTACTTTTTTTTTTAAAGAACCGGTGGAAGCGCTGGTCAAGAGAAACTGGTTTGCCGGCCATGTGACTCAGCAGCTGAGACCAGAGTAACCGCAATTTTCGGTGGCTAATCAAAAGCTGACACAAAGAAATAATTTCAATTGAAATTAAGCACGCGTGCGAGCGAGACAGATGGCAAACAATGAGCGTAGACAAGTATATAGAAAATGTTGCCCATGCTCAGACCTCGACAGACAAGCAACAAAGAGCGAAGAAGAGAGAGAGAGAGAGGGGGTAGAGACGTGCAGGAAATATCAGTTACACTTGCATCAAGAGAACCTCAGCAAAAGTGCATGATTTGTGAGGTTATGGTTGGCATTACATGCATATTGGCATTGTTATACCCTGAAAGGGGTATGTTAGTTTTCACACGTAGTATGAATATTTATTGGGAATAAGAAATTTCCTTTCCCAACAGGTAATATATACATACATATATATCAGTCGACCTAGATTGGCTCAGATTGGACAACAAAATAAGCAGGCTGAAAAGGAATACTTATGGAGCAGCAAATGCCAGCTCTAGGCACGGATGAAGCATAAGCTTACAAGATAACCCAATATTAATATTTACGAGTTCCGTTATATGAGCCCTATCCTATTAACATCGCACTACTACAACGACAATGTATTCATTCTTTCGAAATCCAAAAGATAACTGTTTTTAGTTTCACATGTTTTCGCATGCACGAGGCGTGTGGAATGCAAATGTTCCCAAAAACAGAGATGTATATATATGTCTGTGTGTGTGTGTGTGTGTGTGTGAGTGCTTATGCCGGCGTCGCTTCCTATAAATACATAGTACATGCGCATAGGCCACTTGATGTGGGTTTCGGTAGCAGCTACTATATAGACGCGTGCAGCGTCTCGCATATACATATATACATGGGAATATAGGTAATGGCATTTACATCTATGTATATGTGCACATCATATGCTGCATGTATGCGTGTATTTTACACAGGTCAGGGATGTATCCGTCTCTGTGTCTGCGCATATCATAGGCATACACACAGTGAAAGCTCTTATCGAATTTCGAATAACAGAGATTTTCTAGTATGCATTGTCCACCTAGCACTGAGTTCACTGTAAGTACTGTTTTTTTTTTCATTTCATTTTTGTTGTTGCTTTTATGATGCCCTGCTTCCGATCTTAGGCTGCAGCGTGTGAGAGCACGACTGCAGTTCCATTCAGAGCACCAGTGCTCTATAATTCCTCAAAACAAAACAATATGAACAAAAAAAAAGAGAGCGTCGCAATGCGAGAGTTGCCTTCACCTCAGCCTCAGCCTCGCCCGCACCCTTACCTCACCCTCACCCTGACCAATTGTAATAAACAAGCTGAATCAGAAACGCACTCATCGCACTCACGAATAGCAACAACAAGAGTTACGGTTTTCTTTTTGTGTGTCTTTGTCTCAGCTTCTTCTCGTTACACATACATACATACATACACAGCTAAAAAAATTATCATTTGGCTGACGGCAACTTCCAAATCCAATTAGTCATTAATGCTACACACATACACTTATGCACAAAGCCAAGAACGCTGTGCATACACCTGGGTGTGTGTGTGTGTGCATGTGTATGTTACTGCAATACGAAACACTTTCTGCACTGCGACTGCAACTAGGCAACAGCCTTTAGAACGTTGGACAACACTTTCATTTTGATTGAAATTTATAAATATGATAATCTTACGAATTAAATAAATAACTGTAAGCCCACAGCTTATTTGCACAAATGTATTTGATTTGTAGTACACACTTCGTTGCCAGCGGAAGCATGCACCCCGCCCTTCCCTTGGCTGCTCTACAGCTTCCAGTGGCCTGAGTTTGCTTACGCGACCCCGTATTCTAATTGGAATTGCAGCTGTGCGTGGGTCAAACTATGTGCATACATATGTATGTAGGTACATACACATTCGCATAAAACACAATCGAGATGCGTATTTACATGCAAATATGTATGTATGTAATTTACACTGTTCTTAATATTCTTATGCACGCATTAGTATGCATATTTCAACATAAATGAAGTTTGATTGAATTTAAATTAGCAAATGCACGTGGAAATATTAAATATGTACAATTTTCTCTTCTTCATAAAAAATATGAATAATTTTTAAAGGCACAAATAAATTTTTTCAATTGGCAACTGTGTTTTCATGTACTTCATACATACATACGTATATAGCATGTGCATGTGTATGAATGTGTGTGTATCTATTGCACCGCCCGCTGCTGCTGCTGCTTCTGCTGCTGCTGCCATCACAACATTCTTTTCTTTGTTTGCACAGCGCGCAGAGCACGAATGGTGGTGGGTCTGGGTCAGTTTACATGCGACACTTTGTTTACACATTTCATAATGCAAAAATAGTATTATTTTAATTCAGAATTCGTTTGTATTCACTGGCCAATCACCTTTTGATTAAAGGGGCACTTAACACAATTTCGACAAGAATTGAGACGTCGTCGGACGTTCGTTCCGACGCGCGTACCACACAACAACTACAGCTAGAGATGATAATTACGAAAATTTCAGCAAGAGTTCAACTATCGTTTATAAGCATTGAAATATCGATATGAAAGTGACAGAGAAGCTGCGATTAGTTCCGATAATTTTTAAACGAAAGACGGTGCCTACACATGTTGAGATAAAGAAAATTGGAATGTTTATTATGTTTAGTGTTTCCATTAGTAAAAGGTATTCACTTTTTATAAGAACTGATTAATTATGCTACACTCTGTGCCGTTACACTTACGTTCTTAGCGTTTTCTTTTCTTACCGCAATGCACAAAACTTAACGAAACCGATAACCAATAAAACTGCGATGCATTTCTGTAACGTATATTTGAAATTATAATCGTTACATTTGAATGCTTGTCAACCGTTAAATTTAAATCATCAATGATTCAACTTAGTCATTCTTTCGCTTATTGGATTGAAAAATAGCCGCATCGCTCCCCACATAACTTTCACTCGGCATATTCTCAGGCAAAGATACAACACAGCTTCCGCCCATTCCGCCAGGAGAGCGGTTCTCACCACCACCTGGGCATGGGCATGAGCCCTGCTGACCACCGCCACAGGTAACAATTGGCGGCGGAACATATGGTGCACCCGTGCAAATTGGACACGAGGGCGTCGAATAAGGTCTACTGCAATCATTTTCAGTTGGATGAATAAATCAAATATACAAATGTAACACCTACTTGGTAGACCCGGCCCCGACCACGGCCATGCCAGCGGCACCGGACATATCTCCTGCCCCCGTTGTGTTGTGACGTGGACTGGGATACGGCTCGTACACCTTGTACAGGCACATTAAACGATGGATAACAAACAAGAGGGGTATAAAGAGCGTACAGCACATCAAGAGGCCAACCCAAAATGCATTCTATATTTTTGGTTAAGGTATTAAAACTTGGATACTCAATCAATCAACCCGATCATCGATTCAACACACGAAGTTCGAACTGCTCGAGCCTGCAACATGTTCGACCAACTCGAGTTAGCAACATGTTCGACCAACTCGAGTCAGCGACATGTTTGTCCTGCTCGAGCCTGCAACATGTTCGACCAACTCGAGTTAGCAACATGTTCGACCAACTCGAGTCAGCAATATGTTCGGCTTGTGTTGTATTTACGATTAGTTCGAACAGCATCGATGAAGGGCTTAATATGCAAAAGTATTCAAAAGTATAAAAAAAATACTCTACTCACAATCGGGTCAACTAGATGATAACAAATCATCTCAACACCGCGATAATATGTGTAGGCGAGCGGCTTACATTCGCCGACTTCTGTGGAACACTTGGATATAACCATATCAATGTACATATCGACCTGTTCGGAACAATATAAGGTCAGATTCCGCGTGAGTTCACTTATGTATTTCTTGCCGCGCGACTGTATAAAGGCCTCCGAGCGCAATATCGTGGAAAGCAGCACATTCACAGATTCAGCAAAATTATTATTATTGTACAAGATGAGTTCATCAATTTTGCTTAACTTCTGCCTGATGGTATCTTGAAGACCATGGATCTTGCCAACCCATTCCTTATTGTAAGCTTCCAGACTCAGGGCACAGTTGGTCAGGGCCACGCGGACATAATAATGGCCTCCATAAAAGCCCGAATAGAGATCCTTGCATATATCCCGTATTTCTGCGGCCACCGCAGTCAAGGTGTGCGGCGTTAGGGTCCTGCACAAGTTTTGAACATAGAGTGTGCTGTGGTATGACGATAAATTCCCAGATATATGATCAATTAAGAGTTTCTTTTCCTGCTTGGTGAAGAGCACAACATTGGAGAAGTCCTCTTCAAATTCATTTACTGTATCATCGGGGTCATCCAATATGCTGATGCGCGTCAAATCCGTAATATCATATGCATTGCTGTCGGAGAGCACATTGAATATGGTCTGATGGATTTGGCAGGCTTTGAGTGCATTCGAGACCTGCACCGGCTGTGGCCCGCCCAGATAGTCCATATCCTTTGGCACAAATCGGCTCAGATCGACCGCACTAGCCACATGACGGTATATATTCTCCGAGTCACTCAGCGGTGCACAGGCACCATGAAAGGCCACCATTCCGAGCATAAAGTAGAATAGCCCAACCAACACAAAAAACGAGAACACGCAGAATATCAAGATCATGACGCTGCAAGCCAGGAATAATTTATCAAATGGCGATGGTACGGATAAAAGACACGAATCACGACACGACTCCAGCACGAGCACAAACCACAATTCCTTAAAATTGTTCTATAAATATTTTTCCTACATGTACACAGTCTGGATCCGTTCCGATCACAACCGATCATGTCCGCATCTATCTATCTCTCTATTTTGATGCAAACAAGACTCTTAGTATCTCTCTCTCTCTCTCTCTCTTTCTCTCTCTCAGTCTCTCGGTCTGATATGTGGAAACCGACCGGATCGGATCACTATATGATGTATATGTTAACTAATAATCGGTCAACAGTTTCTGTACTTCCAAGTTCAGCAAAAATGGGCTACTCCCTTAGTCTATTAGGAAACTTCGGCGAGCCGAACATAATACATGTGGAAAATTTCTAATCGATTTCCGACAAGTTTTCACGGACAAGATCAAGACAAAAACAAAAGGTATATACTTTATGAGCTCGGGTTGCAATTGGAATACCCTCGCTTAATTCTCCACTTACCAAAACAATAGCAAGGATGCCAGGCTCTTGCTTAAAAAGCAGCCCAATATCAAAGCAATAATCAGAAGGATCACAATCTAAAATGGAATAAAAACGCAATGAGATGAATCTCGGAAGGTTGCGTACTTACCAATATGAGTAGGATGCAGATGGCAAGGTTGATTCGGGAGCGATCGACTGCAAACTTTTCGTAGAGACCCTCAAAGGATTTGGAGGATCTGAGTGTGTTGAAATGAATATCGCTGACAATGCGTTCGATTAGGTTGCGTATCTTGTTCGCCTCAAACATAAACACATCACGCCCCTTATTCAGACTGGTTATAAGCGGCGGCCCCACCTTCTCCAGCTGCTTGCTTATCGCGTTTTTAACATCCTGCAATCGCAGTAAGGAGTTCTTGGCTACCATGGAGAGCTTTGCATTGATGAGTTGCTTCATTCCCTCCATATATAAGGTTGAATCGGGCAACTGTTGAGGGCGACAAATTGGGTAAATCGATTGGCATTGGTATACTTTGATTGGAACCCACCTGATCTATGTGCAAGCAGGTCGTGCTATCTATATACTCAATTGATGAGAATCTTAAAAAATTGTTGCATCTCAAATTGTTGGACAAGAGGCACGCTTGAGTGGCTTCTCGCTTAACGCCGCGAACTCCTGTAAAGAAAAGGAAGTAAGAAGGACTTGCCCGACCTGGAGAGGATGCACTAGACCCAGCGTCGAGCTACCCTCTTCCCATACACATGCTTCTACTTTCCCACCTTATGAAATATACCTAAACAAGGCTCTAACCTTAAGAATATCAAGAGAACCTCTATACCAAACTGCATATATTTGGGCCTAGAAAGACTGAAGAATGGACGGAGGCAATGGAGTCATCATTTAAACTCTTCCTTCCGATCAAGATATAGGCTCAAAGGGTCAGACAGGCTATTTATCGAGCGAGTGAGTAATATGTGGGGGATGATCTTTAAACGGGGTCATCTCTTTCGATCGAAAGGCTAGACAAAAGGAAGGAACAGACAGAAGGAATTTTCCCAAAGAATTCCCGTGGCATTCCCTTGGAGAGCTAGACATATTCCGGGAAATCCTTCTGATTCGAAATGAAAATCTGTGATATTTACCATCTCGAAGCTGGCAGGTTAGAAAGCGTAACTCCTTCTCGATGCCATTCACATCCATCATAAGTCTCAGGGCCTTGGGCATATTATCGAAAATGCGCTCCATCTCTTCCACTGCGTTGGCCTCGGAAGTATCGCCCAGATCCAAGAAAATGTGATTGGGTGCCGCTGCAAATGGTAGTGAGAATTTTGGGGCCAATTAACAGAATTAATTGGGTCTTACTGTTGACCATATCGGTCAAATGATTGACGGTCTCTTCGAAATTGTTGCCAAGCAGATGGTTGATGTGAGCCGAGATATCGTTTAGGAAGCGGCAGGTATCATCAGAGCTACGCTTCATCAATTCCGTCGCTTCACCGAAGCCCTTGTCGATCAATATGTTGGCCAACAAGGCAATAATACTGCCCAGCCTGTGGGTGGGTAAGTCAATATCAAGTCCAATTACAAAATAGGCTCTCTCAATAATTACAAAAGCAAAAGTATGAGCAGCAAGAGCAGAAATCCACATAAAAGCCGACAACGGGCATCACGAGCTCCAGTGCAAGGCGGACAACCTCTCGGGCAACGTCGACAGCAACAGAAGCAACAATAACAAACCCTGCAATCAAATCTCAGATCTATTTAACTAATATCTAACTCGATTTACTCACGCAAGGAAGGGCACGATAATGATCAGAAACATCAGAAAGGAAACAAATAGGAGATGCGTCCAGTACATCCAGAGCAGGTCGCGCCAATCGTTCATCTCCGCTTTGGGGCCCAACAGCAGAGTATCCGTCGACTTCATAACAAGATAGCCTGCGAATAAAAGCCTCCAATACGTGTCAATGGACAACTCAAAGTCAAATGCTCACCATCCGGCAAAGCGGGCTGATCGGTCATCGTCCTGTTGAACAAATAGTGAGTGAAGTTGAAGACGGGATCGAGGCCCATTTTGGAATACAGTTCGGGTTTTCTGTATTGAACCTTCGATTCAAATTCGGTGTAATCCACTGGCGGCCAATGTGTTTGACCCATCTGTTCGTGGGTTGTGCCCATGCCCGAGAAACCATAACGCCAATCGGTGCCGACATCTTCCTTATTAATTGCAAAATCGCTATCGCCAGGAGTAGCTGCTCCATTCCCAGCTGCGGCATCTCCACCCCCCGCGGCGGCATCTCCGCCACCAGCGGCGGCATCTCCGCCACCAGCGGCGGCATCTCCGGCCCCTGCTGCGGCATCCCCACCCCCCGCTGCGGGAGCCGCCCCTCCACCGCCACCGCCTCCACCGGCGGCACCTCCACCGGCGGCATCTCCACCGGCGGCACCTCCACCGCCGGCATCACCATCATCTGCGGCTCTTTCAGCCTCGTCAGCGTCGTCCTCTTGGACATAATCATTGGGCCGATCAGCAGCCGTATATCCAGCGTAATTTTCATCATCCGCGTCATCGGCCATGATCCAACCTGTCAATGTGAGCAGCAAAAATCCGATAATGATCACCCGAAGAATCCATGCCTGACTTGGATAGCCCTTAGACCTCAGCTTAGCTGATTGCTTTGCCATTCTGTTGGATGTGTTCAATACGCCGCCTATCTGCTCCGCATCCGTGCATCCATTTCACGGTTCGAACAGCACAAATACCAGACCCACCGTGACCATACAACTCTGGCACAAACGCGACCGCGACAGCTCTGGCCTGGGCGTGATGTGTGTCTTGTGTATTTTTATAAAAATATACACTACGTTTTACAGTTTTTTTTTGTTGTTTTTTTTTTTAAATGTGTCAAATTGTTTACACAATTACACATAAATCAGAAAGTTAGTGTTCTCTGAATCTTACCTGCACATCCAACAGACCCGAGTCTCGCCTTGAGTTGGACGACCTTGAGTGGTCGACCTTGGTTGGACGACCTTGGTTTGACGACCTTGGTTGGACGACCTTCTTCATCAAACCAGACCCGGGTTCACACCTTGATTCGTCGAATTCCTTTTTTATTTCCAATATAACTATTAGGTTACCCGGCAGCTCTCGGTTCAAACCAACTTACATTGCGGCTAATTATGTCGACCTTTCGTAGCCTTTCCGACCTTGGTTGGTCGACCCTCTTCTTCAAACCAGACCTGGACTTGCACCTCGGTTCGTCGAGTTGCTTTTTATTTGCAATATAACTTTTAGGTTACCCGGCAGCTCTCGGCTCAAAGGAATAATGATGCAAGTGCGAGCTTAAATTGCGGCTTTTTATGTCGACCTTTCCTAACCTTTCCGACCTTGGTTGGTCGACCTTCATCTTTAGACCAGACCCGGAATCGCACCTTGGTTCGCCGAATATTTACGTAGACCTTTCCTTTCCTTTCTTCTTCGGTTTAATCTCTCGACTGCTCTCTATATTTATATTGCATTCACCGGAGCTTAATCCCCAGGAGCCAGCCCACGTCTAGTTGATGTCGTCCAAGCAATACATACTAATATGACAATTAAAATTGCTCCTGAATTTGAACTGGCGACCTTGAGCTTATTGGTTCAAAGCCCAGACTCCTAAACTCCTACTTAAAAAGCCGCGTTGTTGTTGGATGTTTTCCACTTGCAGATCGAGTTCTCCGAAAACCTTTAATAAAACTCACTTTCTAGCCAAAGGGATAATGGTTAAAATTAGTTAAAAGCAATGCGAAGCTGTAAAGCTTTTACAATCAGGAATAACTCTTAGTTGATAGTAGTAAAAATTATTACTTAAAAATTAATGCGAAGCAAAGTCTAGGCTGGTTCAAATTGTTCTTTTTCCTCTAGATAGACACGTACTTTAATTTCATGTTCAACACAATAACGACTATATAACATAACCTATAAAATAATACACAATCCATCTTAATCCTTCTTCCGTTTAACTGCCGGCGACTCTTGATCTGGCTTCGGTGCGACGGTACGGCTATTCGGCAATGGGTTCGACCGGACCTCGACCGCTGTCTCCGCCTCTTCTGTGCTGGTTTTGGATTCCGTGGTCTCCAGATCGATAACAGCACCGCCGCCACCGGGACGTGACGGTTCGCAGGGGCAGTAGGTTTGTTTCCCGCCGGTGCAGGTGATGATTGGCGGCGGCATATAGGGTGCACCCGTACAGGTTGGGCAGCTGTTGTCGGTTTGTCAGTTATCAGGCATTAGGCTCGATCGAATTAAGGTAGCTAGGATTACTTACCCTCCGATTTGGGGCTCGGGCACAACGACTACGGCGACCGCATATGCGTGCATTCTCTTCCACAAGCACATTAGCTTATGAGCCACATACAGGAGAGGCAGCAGGAGCAGTGCAGCGGGCAGTATGCCCATCCAGAAGCCATTCTGCAAAAATTATGGGAGATTAGTTCAGATTCAGATTATATATATATATATATATATATGTTATATCATGATGGCAAACAGCTTTTGACTCCAACTAGCTCGAGCGCGGAATACAAACTTGGTTCGCCTGCAACATGTTCGAGACCATACATGTATGTACTACTAGCTCGAACATGTTCGAAATGCAACTCGAACAGCTCAAATGAGTTGCGAGTCTTGAGTTGAGTTGAGTTGTTCGAGTATCGGAAAAGCGTTTCGGTTTACCCCCGAATGAGATAAAATTGTGAAATGTGACGAACCAAAGTTCGAATCGGAAATAAGAAACCGAAACCTTAGGTCTTGATTCGTGAGTCGTGTTTGGGCTTGCAGTCATGATATATCTAAAATTGATTTAACAGCCTTCTTACAATGGGATCGACCAGCCGGTAACAGACCAGATCCACACCGCGATAATAAATGTAGGAGAGTGGGGCACAGCGGCCAACGTTTCTGTTGCACTCGTCCATAATGCCGCGTATAAATTCATCAACCTGCTCGTTGACCACATCGGTCAGATTCTGACCGAGGGAATTGATGAAATGACTGCCGCGACTTTTCAGAAAGTTCTCGGCACGTATGACAGCATTGGCCAGCACAGTTATTGAGTTGGTAAAATTGCGATTCTCGTACAAAATGAGATCGTCAATCCTTAAGAGTTTCTGCTTCATCTTGGCCATGATTTTCAGTATCTTATCGGACCATTCGTAGTTATACATATCGAAATGGTAGGCTTCGTTTATCATGGCAACCCGGCCATATCGGGAGTATGAGTCCCATCTATTACTGTAGTAGATATCGTCCCGTACCTTTCTCAGACCGGCTGATATTGTGGCCAAGTTCGGAGTCAGGGCCTGGCACATATTCTCCACATACAAGACGCTGTGGTAGCCCGAAAGGTTGCCGGTGTGCGCCTTCTCCAATTTGATCCTTTCGTCTGAGGTTAGCAGATAAACAGCGGACAGATCCTCTTCGAATATTGAGTCCTTTTTATCTTCTTCCTTGCTTTCACTCATAATGGTGATGCTCGTTAAATCCTCAACCCTATAAATATTGTTATCCTTCAGCAGATCGAATATCGATTGATTTCGGTTGCACGACTTGATTGCCTTCGACATGCGCAGCTCTTCGTTAGCTTCGTTAACCTCAACATCGCTCGTTAGCCCCGCATCCTTGGTCCGAATTATGCGATTGAGATCGATGACCGCGTCCAGTTCCCGGAACAGCGCATTCTTATCGAGATCCCGCAGAGGCGCACAGGCGCCCTGATATGTCACCAGGCCCACCATGAAGTAGAATAGCCCGATCAGCACCAGAAATGAGAAGACAGCGAATATCAAGATGATGCCCCTATAAAAAAATAAACGTTATGTATCAATAAAAAATGATTTATCAATAAAAACGATATTTATCAAGAGAGCTTCAATTCTGTTAGATATCCTGTACTCAGTGGCAAAAAGTTGTTTCCCTTGCGCTTATCGAAAGATCGAAAATCGATATCTCGTAAAATCGATATATATCAAATAATCGATACATCGATGCAAAACATTTGTATCGCTTTTATCGATATTTATACATTTTAGGCTTAAATTGGATAAGTTACCACTCTTGCAGCACAATATACCTCATTTTACCCTACGCCCTCACACAGAGAGGGTTACAGGGTATACGAAATTGAGCCACATTTAAATACTTACATCAACAAGCATGTGGCTCCCGTTGGTTTGCTGCGCGTGCAGCCACAAATCAGGCCAACGGTCATTAGGATCACAATCTGAGACGAAATATCGATTGAGGATTTCAGCATAGGATTCACTTTTAAATTAGCCTCGATATTTACCACAAGCAGAAGTATGCAGACGAGTGCGTTAATATAGCTGCGGTTCTTGCCGAACTTTTCGTAGACATCCTCAAAGGACTCCGTGGAGCGAAGAGTGCGCAAATGGATGTCGCTGATCACGGACTCGATCGTTTTGCGTATATTTGTGGCTTGGATGCGGAACTTCTCACGGCCCTGGTTGATGTCATGGAGCAGCGGCGGAATCACCTGATTCATTGCCGTCTCGATTTTGCTGGCAATATCCTGAAAGCGCTCCAGCGCCTTTAGTGGTATTTTCGTGACGTCGTCCTTGATGATCTTCTCAATGCCCTCCAGAAACAGCGACGTGTTCGGCATCTGAAAGCAAACTCAAAACCTGACTCACTTGGCCACAATTTGAATAAAAGCTCCGACTTACATTATCCAAGTGCAGGCAATTCGATGTATCAACGAATTCCAATTCCGAATTCTTTAAGAATTGTTTACACCTGTTATTGCTAATCAAATTGGAACAGGCGTAGTTCACGTCTCGCTTGGCGCCTCGCACACCTTCAATAAGGAATAGCTTAGAAGTTTTCTAGTCGCAGGTGCCCAACTAGCAGATACCCTGTAGCCTCTTACAAAACAACCTAGCTGACATACTTTCTTGATTATCCTTGGTATTTGTTGTCTGATCCCTAATGCTGGCAGACCCAAGGGCCAAAGGGCTAAACTTCACAAACTGAAACTATTCAATATTTCTCTAAACTAAATGGAAGTCTACTACATATCAAATTAGGCTCTATATTTCGATATAGGTTCGAAGAAACTTGTCGGTGAATGTGAATGCCGTGTTTCCCCTTGTTTCACACTTCTCGAGACATGGATCCTTTGATAACTTCGGTATTTATAGTCCGAGCTTAATGAAACTTCTAGGACTATATCATGTACCAGGTTCTACAAAGTTCTTCTATAGATTCTAAGAAAGTTATCGATAAATTAATATGCTGTCTTCTCCCTTCTTTCACACTATTCGCGATTCGGATCCTTTGATAACTTCGGTACTTATAGTCCGAGCTTAATGAAACTTTTACGACTATATAAGGCATACAAAAATATGTACAGGGTTCTACCTTTAAAAAAACGTTTCTTTTTAAGTGGAATATGGAAAGTGTGCAAAATGTGAAATATTACTAATATGTACGTACTATAAGAGAACCTAAATACCATATTAGATGCATTCAGCTCTAAAGGTATTCGAGCTAAGCTTAAGAAAGCAAGCCTCAAAACCGATTTTTATCGATACAGGAGTTATCGGAAAAAGGAAGAACAACGGAAGGCGAAATTTCAAGTCTCGAAGATGTCTTAGAGACGGACAGAGGGACATGTTTAGGTCCAAGCCTAGGCTAGGCTTACGGTATAGAGAAGAAGAAGCATTTACCATCGCGTAGCTGTGTCGTATAGAAGCGCAGGTCCTGGTCCAGCTGTACCACCTGCTTCATTAGAATTCTGGCCTCTATCATATTATCGAAAATGCGCTCCAAATGCTCGACGGCATTGCTCTCGGAAGTATCCGCCAAGTCCAAGAATATGTGATGATGGGCATCTGTGAAGTTCATGCGGATTAGTTCTCATTTAGTATTTGGTATTTCGGTGGGCTTTACTGTTAAGCAAGTCGGTCAGATGGGCCTCCAGCTCCTCATAGTTGTAGACGAAGATGTGGTGAATGTGCGCGTTAACATCCTCCAGGAAGCGACAGGTGTCTTCGTTGCCACGACGCACCGTGGACGCCGTCTCAGCCAGGCCGCGGTCCAGCCCCCGATTCGACGTATAGCCAATGATGGCGCCAAGCCTGAAATACATTTCAAGGTTTCATTACAGGCCATTTAACCCATTTCCAGCTGCACCTACAAAATGAATACGAGCAACAGCGCCAGGATCACAGCACAAATCAGGGCCCTTCTCTTGTCGTTCGCCTCGTCGCAGGGAGCACATCCGCGCTTGCAACGGCGACAGCAACAGAAGCAACAATAGCACACGCTGCAGGGTGGAACAGAAAAAAATACTGTCTTCGGCTAGCCGAAGCTTTGATACCCTTCTAGATAGAGAGATGACTGAAGATATATATATAGATATATATGTGATTTAGTATACTCTGTGTCAAGCCTTGTGACGAGCTAAGTGAAAGATATTTGAATAGAAAAAGTTTCTCACTTCTCGACCGATCGTTCCTATGACATATATATATGATATAGTGCTTCGATTAGATCGATAGCTTAAAGAGTTAGAGCTCGGTTTGCATGGAAAGAGACAGACGAACAAAATTACCCTACTCTCTAGAAGGGTATAAGTATGCCGAAATTTGGGGCTCTGATATACTCACGCGAAGAATGGAATCAGTATTATGAGAGCTACTAAGATTATGACCCAGAGTATGAGCAAAAAGTACTGTCCCAATAGATCGCTCCAGTCGTTGTCGACAACCTTGGGACCCAGCACCAGGGTATCGCCATTTCTCACCGCAAGATAGCCTGCCCGGAAGCGAAAGATTTAGCAGATCAGAAGTTTAGCCAAATGGTATAAATGGGTAACTTACCGCGCGGCAAGGAGGGCGTGTCGGTGATGGTGTGATCGAAGAAGAATTGCGATAGATTGAATGCGGGCTTGATGTTCCAACTGGTGCGATTCAATTCGCTAGTATAACGAATTTTCGACTTGTAGGCTGTCAGATCAACGGATGGATAATGCTGCTGTCCCAGCTGTTCGTGCGTCGTGCCATGCCCCTCGTTCGTGTCGTGCCATTCCTCGCCAGCAACCGGTCCGATCAGCGTGAACAGCACCAGGCAGCTAACGATACCAACCACTCTAGCATATCGACTAAATTTAGTATAACCAATTGAATAGCGACGTGGCCGTGCCTCAACAGCCATTCCCCGTCTATTGCTTGGAACTTATTAGATGATGAGAGCTCACAAAGTGCTTGGGCACATGTATGGCTAATATGAACACATAAAATTTTGCTGCACATGCAGAAATTCACTAAACAGTGTCGCAAATAAGAAACGCTTTGAAATTGTGATTTATCAAAACAAGTGAAATGTACAAAATATGTCAAAACAATAACAGATCAATTTGGCCCAGACTAGGCCAAAAGGATACGTGATGCCAGCTGTGGCATGGTTCAAAAATTTCTAATTTATGCAAACAGGCGACAAAATCCTTGCTGATCTTTGCTTTCCTTAAGGTTCTTACAGCTGTCTAATTATTCTGAGCTAACTTCTGATATCTTTAATACCAAAAACTGAAGCTATTTTCCTATTTCCTTTCATTTTTGGCAAAAGTAAGTCTAATCAAATAATAATAAGACACTATACGAGTGCACACATACCACGTTTCGTGTCTTCAGCTCCTTCTTCGAGTTAAGGCACCTCCAATCGATATTTATCGATTTTGAAGCAAATACGGCGTAACTGGCTAAGTAAACAGAGCTTGTTCTGCGTGCGCGGAAAGCTACAAAAGAAATAGTTACTCAGATGGTTAAATCGATCTGATCTAGATTATATATATATGTGCTACAATAGCAGTTATTAGTCTAACAGTTGGTAAAGTCTATCTGATCTGGATTATATATATATGCACAGACTAGATTATGTGTAAACATGTCTTTAAAGATCTGAACAAAATCTTAAGCTGGCCGGCTTACAGCTCGCTGTTGAATCTTACACTAAACATTCGACTTGAAGCCTGACAGCTTAAGATTTAATTTATATACAAATTGGCATTTGAAAATTAAAATTAAACGATTCTTATAACATTATCATTGGTGCTCTTGTAGGATTTCATCAAACCATATCTTTATTTGTTACACATTTGTTGTTGTTTTTGTTGTTGTTGTTAATAATTCTTGGTTGATTTGCTAATTTCACATTATTTGTACATACATTTAGGTTTTACATTGTGTATATATATATATGCTAATACATATATACATATATTTATTTAATTATTTATTTGTTATGCATGTGTTGAGCATAGCAATTAGTTTGTCATCTATGTTAAATAATTTACATTAGAAATTTGGTTTCAGTTTTACATTGAACTGCGTTACATTAATTGCGCTTCAAAATCAAAAATATATAAATATATATATATATATATATATATTTGTTGTGAAACTTTACAGCTACTTAAGAGCTAGACACATATGCACTGGCTTATTTAATTATTCTGCCTAAGCCTGGATAGTTTTAAAAACAATAATATTATTATGCGATTGGTTGTTGTTTTATCAAATTAAAAAAAAAGAACTATTACACAGTTAGCATTATTAATTATAGTATTTGTTATGAACTATATATTTGTTGTTGTTTCTTTTGCGACTCTCGACAACAGATCACTAAACAATTGCAAAGTAAAGCTGACTATTTAGTTAATACTAATTAATTAATTGTAATTATAATTTGTTTGCTGCTGAACAAAATCAATTGCTACATAATAATATATGAGGCCGCCTTTATTTCTTTGTGCTGCACTTTACACAATAATGTTATTTTTTTTTATTTGGCAGTTTGTTTATGTTTGTTTCCCGTTGATAATAAAAAACAACAACAAATTGTTAGGCTCACCGTGATGTTTCAAACTTGCATACCAAAAATGAACACAGGCTGCGTTTATAACTCTTATTATTATGTTGTTGTTTTTTTTTGCGGGCAAGCTGATTCCGTTCATAAATGATTTATGAAATTAATAATTGTACAATATTTAAATGTGAATCGGAAATGCAAATCACATGCGGCAAGGAAAAAGAACAGAATTGACTTAACAATAACTTTTTTTTTGTTTTTTTTTGCAAATTCTAACTTTGTTTTTCTTCTGGTTTTGCGTTTAAACTAAAGCGAAACTAGTTACAGCATTTGTTACAATTACTAAATCGTTTAATTTATTATAGACACCAGCGTGGCAGACTAGAGCTGCGCCAGCGAATCGGAGCGTATCAGCGGCGCCAAGGAGCTGGGCACCTTGTGGCCCGTCTCGATCTCGTACTGGACATCGAGCGAGGCACCTGCGAGCAGCAGCCAAATCGAACGGGGAGAGGCACAGAGAGATGTACAGATTGATTAAAATCGGATTTTTAAAACACTCTTCAATTTATATATATATATTGTTTTGATTATAAATTCCCCCCCAAATGAAGCACACACATATATTTTTATGAATTAATTATCAGGCTCATCCTTACGTTTCTTTTCCAGCACCGCCTGCTGGCTCTCGGGTATGAAGGCGGCCACGACAATGGCACAGAATACGCACAGGGCGCCAAACACAAACGGCGGGCCCGGCACATGCATCGATATCTTCTCAACGTTCGTCGGATGACTGTTGTTCATAATGGCTTCATGATCGGGATTTAGATCAACATTGAACAGATAGAAGATAACGCCAAAGACGGCCGGACCCAGGCCATTGCACAGGCCGCGCATGCCCGTAATCATGCCCTGCACAGCACCTAAAACGGCAAACAAGAAACGGAATGAGATACCATCTGGTGAGAATGTGCTCATGTGTAGCTTACCTTGACTCTCGGGCGAGGCATACAGGGATACAAACGCGCTGATCGCCGGATAAGTAATCGAGCCCAGTGCGGCCACAACGCCCGCCGACCACATCATCCTGCAAAGAGTACGAGTTAGTATATGATGACAGATCTCCTTTCATGCCTTCTCAGGATATGACTTACCACTTCTGACTGCCCAGGCCGTACCAAAGCAGTTGAACCAACTCGAGGGCTAGGCCCACAATGATAGTGCGCTTGGCGCCAAAGACTCTGCAATGGATCAAATTTTTGGTTTACAAAACGAGCTCTACAGTTGATAGACAGTCAAATAATTGTCTCACTTCATGAACGAGCCCAGCGTTACTTGGACCGTAATGCTGAGTATGCCCACAACGGCTATAAAAATGGACACCTCAACATAGTTGAAGCCCATTTTCAGCTTGAGGTAGACAAACATGCACGAGTACTCGCCGGCCTCGGGCAGATAGGAGAGCAGCACAGTGAGGCACAGCATCAATACCGTCTTATCTGTGCCAACCTTGCGCAGGGCCTGCAATGAAAATACAGACATAATTTAGCATCAATCGATTCAACTGAAAGGCGACAGACTTGAGCATGCAATTATTGAGCTAAGCGGAGGTCGATTCATCAACCTCGAAGGCATTTGCTCAATTGAAGTTCGAACCTCTCGAGTCATCAAACATGTTCGAGCTACAAATAGCTATTCGACAATACAAATATGTTCGATTAGCTGGAACAAAACGTAGCTCGAAGCTCGAACGAGTCATGTTCGAGTTGCAAACAATTGAGTCGTTCGAGCCAAACAATTATTCGAGTACCCCAAATGCATTTCAGCTGAGCTTTAATATCAAAATCAAATTCAAATAATTGCTAACATTTGAACTCACCAGAAAGGGATCGGCTTGCTCCCAGCTGATGGGTGCACCCCATGTGGCGGGTCGCATCTTTTCGGACAAGCTCTCCGGCACAGCGACTAGAATAAAGAATACATCCAAGACCGCAATGGCCGTGGATAGAGCGACCACCAATGCATCGCCGTACATATCCATTAGAGCATTGCCCAGCGCCGGCGAGATGACCAGACTGGCGGCAAATGTGGCCGACGCCAGGCCGTAGGCCTTGGAGCGCTCCTCCGGCGTGGTGACATCGGCCACATAGGCGAACACCACCGAAAAGGTGACGGCAAATGCGCCACTAATTGAGATCATGGCAAAGAACCACCACGTATTTACGCACATCAGCGGTATCGGCATACATGTAAAGAATACTGTAACTAATAGGAAAAATTTACGACCCCAAATGTCGGACAGGGCGCCTATCAATGGCGCCGACAGGAATGACAGTATGCCCTTGATGCCCATCACCAGGCCGTTCATGAGGAACGTATGATCCGGAAATGTACGATTGAGCGTCTGCAAAGTAGTTACGTTTCATCAAAATGTTATTTTTGAATTATTATCAATGGTACACTCACCGATATAATGGGCATGGTTAGCAGACCCCAGGCGAAGAACTCTAAAAATATCACAACCAGCGCATGATGCACACTCGGCTCGCCAATTCCCGAACTCTGTGGGTTTATAGAAAATATATTATTATTATTATAACGATTATTATTATTATTAATCATTTATTTATAATTATTATTACGATTATTATTTATTATATTACTTATTATTATTTATCATTATTACATATTATTATTATTTAATAGTATTACTTATTATATTATTATTATTAATATTATTAATATAGAGTAGATTTATAAGCTAACAAATTGACTGTTTAATAGCACTGGCCCTGGGCTAAGACTTGACTCTCGAGTTGACCAAAAGAACCGAGTCATACACTAATAATAATAACTTACTTTACAAATATGGTAAACAGTTAATAATCTAATTTGAGCCTTGAATTTGAACCTGCGACCTCTTAAGTTAAAAATAAAGCATACATATATCCCTCATTTTTCATACATATGTGCTACACTTGTTAGCTGCAAAGCTTACTTTTTCAGAGCATCGATTCAAATCCCCTACAATAGTCGAAGATTCGAACCTGTAACTCCAATGTTCAGCTATTCATAAAATAATTTAATTAGAACATGCATTGTTATAAAATATTAAACTAACTTTTGAATGGAATATCAAGTATTATTCCCAACACAAGCTGTGGATTCGAACCAGCAATACCTCTTCCAATATTCATAAATATTATATAATCACGTTCTATTCTTAACTGCATAATGTCATAAGTTATTAACTTAACTTTTAAATGTCACTTATAAATATAAACATCTAAAAGAGCCCAAAAATAATCTGGGATTCGAGCCTGAAACCTGCTTCGCTAACGTGATGTCAACGATGTTGACGTTTACTTATTGATATACACAGAAGAACAAGCAACAATTTGACGCCAATGAAATCGGAAACTGTCTAACTGCCCGGGCACATGGGAAGGGAGCAGCGAATGGGACTGGGACTGAGATTGGAGCTATGAAATTGATTTGTTTGTCTTTCGATCAATTGAAACGAAAGGCAATTTGTACAATGGAATTTTCCCAGGGCACAAACCTTGCAACAGCAGAATTTACAGCCGAAGCGTATCCATTCGAAGAAGCGATTCTGGCTTGGCGGCTCCGGTGGTGTTCCAATTGTAGGCTGCGAACGCATCGAGATGTACGAAGCGGCGGACAGGGTGCGTCGATGTGTGCCACCAATCGATCTGGAAGCGCCCTGTGCTGTGGTCTCTGCAAACGCGGCGCTCGGATGCGCCGCATATCTCGAAGACTGCAGGAGAGATGCCGGTGTAGGTGCATTAGCATTGCCATTAGCATTATCATTAGCATAAGCTTCAGCATTAGCATTAGTATTAGCAATAGCATCAGCATTTGCCTTAGCATCAACATCAGCATTTGCATTAGCATTCGTATTCGCATTAGCATTAGTATTAGCATTAGCCTTAGCATTAGCATTAGCACTAGCGTCAGCATCAGCACCAGCAGTACTATTACAATTGCCATTAGCATTAGCATTTGCTTTAGCATTAGAATTAGCCATTGCATTGACATCAGCATCAGCCTCAACATTAGCATTGGCAACAGCATTAGCATTAGCATCAGCATCAGCATTAGCATGAGCATCAGCATCAGCATCAGCATTAGCATTAGCATTAGAATTAGCCATTGCATTAACATCAGCATCAGCCTCAACATTAGCATCGGCAACAGCATTAGCATTCGTATCAGCATTAGCATTCGCATCAGCATCAGCATTAGCATGAGCATTAGCATTAGCAATTGCATTAACATCAGCGGCAGCTTTGTGGCTTACCGTGGGCACATTATCCTCATCCCGCAGCTCGCTGTTGGTCGTGTCCGCAATATTGGAATTCGCCGTCTCCGCCGGCAGCTTCTGCTGCTGCTGCTGCTGCTTGAGCGTTGTGGCATGCCGCTTTACCAGGTGCGCACCGCAGCCAACGCTACTGGCAGCATAGTTGGCAGGTGAGAGCGGCAGTGAGCTGATCGTATCCGCATCCGCAACATCTGCCACATCCGCGGTGGTGGGCGTGGAGCTGCTGCTGTGCGTGCTCAGCGTGTCCGTTAGCTCGCCCGCATCCGACTCATCCTTGATATGCGACGTGTTGTTGTTGCTGGTCAAGTGTTTGATCGCCGGCTCCTGCTCATCCAGTTCAAAGCTGCTGTCCGCATGCTCATTGGGTTGCCGCTTGGCCTGGCTGAGCTTGTTACGCATGCTTCACGCACACACACGCACACACGCGCACGCACGCACACACACGCACACACGCACACGCGCACAGAGAGCGGCAGACACACACTCTCTTGCTGTATACTCTGTACTCAGTACTCTCTTGATTCTCTCACTCTGTCGCACTTGTTCTGGCTCTCTGTTCTCCTTCTCTGACTCCCGCTAGGTCAGTCGCTGCTTTACACACAGTTTCCTTGGTTTGGCCAGCACACAAATTTCCATTGCCACGTGGTGTCCACAGTTGAGGAATCAGCTGGCTATGCTCTGGAACATATCAGATCGAAGATCGGATCTCACTGTGCGTCCTGTTGCCGTTGCCTCGCTCTCTCTATCTCTCGCTCTCTCTTTCTCTCTCGCTCTTGTTATCATTTATCATTGATTGTGAGGAATAACAAAATAGTTCTTGCTACGGCGGCGTCTTCTCCGATTTCAGGCACTTTTCCGGCTGTAATTACAGTTAACCGCGGCCCGGTTCAGTATTTATTTTCATTTGAGGAACGCGCGAGATTTGCTTTCAGCTGCGAGTCCGACTACAAAATGGTTACAAATAAAACTTAATTATACGGACCCAAAAAACAAAAACAAAAAAACAGTTGGCGAATTTCGTGCTAAAAAGTTGCCATTAAATTTACAATTGAATTGCCAAAAGTGGGCGTGTCACGTCCCACAGCTAGTCACTAGGTTTTCCAATGAGAAACAGTCAGTATTTTATTTTTATTTTTTTTTTTAACTACCTGTTTCTAATTTGGGAACAACTTAATTTTAATAGATTTGATTTGATTTCCAGCGAAAAAATGCAACTCCGTTTAAGAACTGCTTGAAGAAAAATATGTATTTTTGTAAATTAATTAATTTCTGTTCCGTCTGTTAATTTAAGCAAATTGAGTTACTTCAAATTTGATTAATGACGTCGCGAAGTATGCAATAAAATTAACCATATTTAGAGCTCACGATGAGTTAAGAGTCGTTATAAGTCAATTAAGGTTAGTTATTGTTGTTGTTGTTGTTGTTTTTAGCCTGTTGTTTAACGTGCGAATGTTAATCAAACCTAGAAGCGACGCATCTATAAGTACCGAAAAAACACACACAACAATTAACATTGTTAGAAACAAAGCGAAGCTTGAAGCAAATCGCACGAAACTCAAATCAAATCAAATCGTCTCAAATTCAGTTGCTGCTCGTCATCGAAGAGAGCTTTGCTTTTCATAACAAGTTTGCCTTTTCAGAGAGCGAGAGAGAGAGAGAGAGAGAGGCAGCAGAGAGAACAATCACCGTTGTTTTTCGTTTGTTTTAAAAAGGGATATTGTCACCACAGAGAAAACTCGACTCGAGTGCAGCATTCGGCGTTGCGTGAACCAGCTCCGAATACTCCGAAAGACAAGAATTTACGATATTTTTGCAAAGAGAGCCAAATAAACTGCGAATCAATTTGAATTTATGAATTTTTTTTTTTTTTGGTGTAGACAGTGTAACAAAGATGTGCTTCGAATTTTGACAAACGTTCAATTTTTATTTATACAACTCTGATGCTCACGAAAAAACCTTACAATTAACTCCACATTTATTTACAATACATTTTCGAACTGTTCTGAGACAAACATTCGGCGACGTCTGCTAGGTTCGAATGCGCGATGGGCACTGAGCGGGCGATGAGCTTTTCGAAAAGCCGAGAGACGGACAGAGAGAGAGAGAGAAGGGGAGAGGAAAGCAACTGAACAGCGCGGCGTGCTAGTGAGTGTCTGTCTGGCTGCTGTATGTGTGCTTGCGTGCGTGTGTGTGTGTGTGTGTGTGTGTCTGCCTGGCTGTCTGCCTGTCGCGTGTGTGTGTGTGTATGTCTGCGTGTGTGTGTGAGTGAGAGCGAGCTTGCGCTTGAGGCTGCGCAGCGGACTTTATTTGCGGACTAAGCAAAACGAACTGAAGCACACAAGAAAGTACCAAATTAGAGGGAACAAATTGTCAAAAGGGTAATTTTTGTGGATGGTGTAAGGGGGAGGGAAATTGAGCAGCTATTAAATATGTTTATGCGGGAGCGCTGACCAGTTGCTGCATACAAAAACAAATTAGCAGCCTCTTGTGAACTCCGATAGGAAATTAAACAGAGCTTAAACCATAAAACATGCCAAACGACCAAAACATTTAAGAGCCGGTCCATTAAAAGCGTTTACAAGTTGACTTAGACAATAGAAACAAAGAGAGTGCTCTAGTCGGGATTATACGACTAGCAGATACCCTGAGTACAGTTGCGAGCAGTCTGGGGAAGGTATCAAAAAAGGGATATATCTAGTGCCAAAAATATTCGCGTGAAGCTTAAAAACCAGGTCTCGAACGATTTTTATCGATAAATTGGAAACGATAGACAATGTCGATTTAAAAATATCGTTAATCGAAGGCAAACTGTATCGCTTCGATAACTCATCTGTGCTAAAGTAAAAAGTTAAAAGGAACATGCATTCCACAAAAGCCTAATAAAAATTAACATTAAATTGAGCAAATGCTCTTGACACCAGATAAAAGTCATCAAAATAAATGCCTGACGCAGCATAAATCATGACGACGTGCTCAACCCCAATGGAGATCGCGCGATCTACCCCAAATCGGGTCAAGAGCAAACACAGCAGCTAAATAAGTAGAATGAAAGCCGGCCAAACAGTGGCAAAAGCGGGTTAAATAAACAAAAAGATAAGAAAAGTGTCGGAACAGAAGTGGAAGATACTTTTGTTCTTGCACGCGTTATCTGAGCTCCAAGCAGATACAAAATACAGATACATAAATATGATATCGTGCCAAGAATTAGTTGCAACACAGAAAAAACCTTTCATAAAGTGTAAAAATTAATCATTTTCCATACAATATTTCAATTACAAATAGTATTTCACGTTCTAAAGCCAGATGGCGGTAATTAAATATATGTATATCAGTATTTATCTATATATATTTAACTATATATAGTATATATATGATTAGCGGCAATTCGATTTTTTTCTAATTTACTTCATTGTGTCAGCGCCTTATGTTAGGCCATAAGCTAACAGCACGGCGTATACGTAATATCAGACATTTTACCGCACATTTATCGTTAATTAATCTGCTGTCCAGACCCACACGTGTGCTTCATATACCCTGTAAATGGGCTTGGTCGAGAGTGGCTACAACTAAAGCCCTACTTATGTCAGCAACAAATTTCTGACTGTTTTGAAACTAAGTTCTTGTAGTTCTTTAAGAAATATTACTTTATAAGAGCTTTGGAAGATTTGGTTTGAATCTAGTTTGTATTATAAGTATAATGGAAAACTTGGCCCAAATTCATATAAACTTGCTTCTTTTTTACTTCAACTTTAAGCTTATATCAATAAGAGACAGCAAATTTAGAGTATATATTCAATTATATATACCCAATTCCCAGAATATTTGGACATTCGTATGCACACACTTTTTTATGCCATATTTGAGCCTTGAAAGTTTCACAGCGATCGGACTCTAAGCACCGATGTTAATCCAGTAATCATTTTCCAAGAAAAAAAGCCAGCTCGAATGTCTGGGTAACTGCCGACTAGATCACGCCTGTTTTACCCAGTCCTGTTTACAGGGTAACTGTCAGTCGACTAGCGCAGATCCTGCTCGATTTTGCATAAGTTCGCACACGCAAACGAAATTGTGAGTAAAAAATAAGGTTCGCCTGTCGAGGCAAGGACAAATTTTGGGCTCCGAATAATTGACATGCATAAAATGAGTTCGGGCAGAGAATTGCCCAATTCCAATGAAGTGAAAGCAAAGGCAAAGCCCAATAATCAGCCTAAAAGTATGCAGTCGAAGGCGAAGCGAACTTGAAAAGTAAAGTTAAAGTTGCCACAAAGTGGGGCAAGGCAAACACACACACACACACACACACACACACACACAGAGCTGTCTGTTGTGGCCCAAGCTATTTGCTGCCAAAAAGTGCCCACAAATTCAATTAACGAGCTGCATTTAAAAGTTTCGCTGGACAAACAAATTTATGGAATGCCCAAATAATAATAAATTAAATCTGAAGTGCGAACAGCAAAGGAAAACAAATTTCTTGATGGATTATCGAACATTTTCGTGTCGAATTATTGATAAAACAGAGCCTGTTGATAGCTCGGGCCGCACACGTGCCAAAGTCTGTCCGTCCAGTTGAATGGATACCGAAACCGATTCTCGCACCATTGACAAACAAGACTCAAGGTTAGATGAGTGCAGCAGCCGTTGCGGCGCTTTTATTTTTTCGTTTTTTAAATTCGATTCAATGCAATGACGACAGCGTGCACGGCCACGCGACGTATACGTAATATTCGCCAGGAGCGGACTTGACGCCAAACGGGCCCATTGCTTAAAACGGGAGCTCAATGGGGCAGAAACTTAATGGCTAAAAGGAGCTTTGCTTGATACTCCTCACCAAGAGTTAGCTAAGAAATCAGTTGGAACTTGAATAGGAATATATATCCTAATGTATATATATATATTTCTAAGACACATAATGCTAAGCATCGCTGCAAGCTCATAAATAAAGTAGGAACGATTTTTGTTAGCTTTCCTAACGGATCAGCCGTTCTTTACAGTTGTGTCAAAAGATATGGGCGTGGGAAATTTTTATCTATGTTTATATAGTATAGAAGCCAAACCTCGTGAAAATCGGTTGATTTTTGGCCGAGTTATGGGGGTGGGAAATTTTGACCCATGTCTACATACGAATCTTGGGGTAAGATTTGGACATGAATTTTGACTAAAAAATCGGTGTTCAGATTTGAATGCCAGATTAATATAGAGGGAAAAACATGAACAAAAAGCCCAACCTCATGAAAATCGGTTGATTTTTGGCCGAGTTATGGGGGTGGGAAATTTTGACCCATGTCTATATACGAATCTTGGGGTAAGATTTGGACTTGAATTTCGACTAAAAAATCGGTGTTTAGATTTGAATGCCAGATTAATATAGAGGAAAAAACATGAACAAAAAGCCCAACCTCGTAAAAATCGGATGAGAATTGGCCGAGTTATGGAGGTGGGAAATTTTGACCCATGTCTATATACGAATCTTGGAGTAAGATTTGGACTTGAATTTCGACTAAAAAATCGGTGTTCAGATTTAAATGCAAGATTAATCTAGAGGGAAAAACATGAACAAAAAGACAAACCTCATGAAAATCTGTTGATTTTTGGCCGAGTTATGGGGGTGGGAAATTTTGACCCATGTCTATATACGAATCTTGGAGTAAGATTTGGACTTGAATTTCGACTAAAAAATCGGTGTTTAGATTTGAATGCCAGATTAATATAGAGGGAAAAACATGAACAAAAAGCCCAACCTCGTAAAAATCGGATGAGAATTGGCCGAGTTATGGAGGTGGGAAATTTTGACCCATGTCTATATACGAATCTTGGGGTAAGATTTGGACTTGAATTTCGACTAAAAAATCGATGTTCAGATTTAAATGTCAGATTAATCTACAGGGAAAAACATGAACAAAAAGACAAACCTCATGAAAATCGGTTGATTTTTGGCCGAGTTATGGGGGTGGGAAATTTTGACCCATGTCTATATACGAATCTTGGAGTAAGATTTGGACTTGAATTTCGACTAAAAAATCGGTGTTCAGATTTAAATGCAAGATTAATCTAGAGGGAAAAACATGAACAAAAAGACAAACCTCATGAAAATCGGTTGATTTTTGGCCGAGTTATGGGGGTGGGAAATTTTGACCCATGTCTATATACGAATCTTGGGGTAAGATTTGGACTTGAATTTCGACTAAAAAATCGGTGTTTAGATTTGAATGCCAGATTAATATAGAGGGAAAAACATGAACAAAAAGCCCAACCTCGTAAAAATCGGATGAGAATTGGCCGAGTTATGGAGGTGGGAAATTTTGACCCATGTCTATATACGAATCTTGGAGTAAGATTTGGACTTGAATTTCGACTAAAAAATCGGTGTTCAGATTTGAATGCCAATTTAATATAGAGGGAAAAACATGAACAAAAAGCCCAACCTCATGAAAATCGGTTGATTTTTGGCCGAGTTATGGGGGTGGGAAATTTTGACCCATGTCTATATACGAATCTTGGAGTAAGATTTGGACTTGAATTTCGACTAAAAAATCGGTGTTCAGATTTAAATGCAAGATTAATCTAGAGGGAAAAACATGAACAAAAAGACAAACCTCATGAAAATCGGTTGATTTTTGGCCGAGTTATGGGGGTGGGAAATTTTGACCCATGTCTATATACGAATCTTGGGGTAAGATTTGGACATGAATTTCGACTAAAAAATCGGTGTTCAGATTTGAATGCAAGATTAATCTAGAGGGAAAAACATGAACAAAAAGCCCAACCTCGTAAAAATCGGATGAGAATTGGCCGAGTTATGGAGGTGGGAAATTTTGACCCATGTCTATATACGAATCTTGGAGTAAGATTTGGACTTGAATTTCGACTAAAAAATCGGTGTTCAGATTTGAATGCCAATT